TTATTGGTCTCGTGGGGCAAAGCATATCATTTCGAGTAACTACAAGTGACGGCAAAATGTTGCAGTTCGATAATGTTGCACCAGCTAATTGGCAATTCAATTCTGTCTATGATGGAAAAAGAAATTTTTAAGAACCTTCGTGTAAAAAAATTATAATAATTTAAAAATGTACTAGATCACTGTACTTTAAATTTATTATTGATATATTTCAAATTTTTAATATAATAATAAATAGAAAATAATTAACTACTTATTTAAAAAAAATAATTGCATTATATGGCTGCTGCTATATATATATATATATATTTGTTTTGTTGTCTTTTTTACTTCTTTATCGATTTGGTTAAAGTTGAAAATCTAAACTAATCCCATATTTTATTTGGGGTTTGATCCAAACTTGTTCATATTTAATTCAATTCTTATTTTTTTGTTATTTTGTATATAAAAACTAGTCAATAATTATACATTTGATATGGACATGAAACAAATTAACTTACATATTCAATTCGATAACTATAGATTTATATTCTCATATGCTAATCAATTAATTTAAAAGTACCTAATTTGATTTGGGCACTAATTTACTTGGAATTTGGATACTATTACATTCATATTTACATTATATGAATCCAATATAAAAAAGTTGTACTTATTTACTTGTACCCCAATTTTGTATCAACAGAAAAAAAATGTGGGAATTTAAACTCTTTAACCTAATTCTTGACATCAATCCAAAGTAAAAGAACAATAATAAATTGAGCCCAATACCATAGTTCATTAAACTCGAGATGAACTTCTCAATTTTTAGTCAACAGAACATCTAAGCAAATGAACTACTACTAATTAAACACATAAGTACTAAACTTATAATGTTTGTAGCTACCGATGGCTAAATCTAAAATTTGCGTGATTATACATACTTTTGTGAGAGTTGAACTCAGAAAAAATTGCTCAAGAGAAAAAAGTCTTAGCGACCACATAAAAGCCCCAAAAGTTACAATGACCGTTCTACTTTTATATTTATGATATAAACCAATAATGCAGCC